ACGACATTATATGATATTGGGAGACCACAATAACTCTATCCCTTTAGCCGAAAGTAATCCAAAACAAACTTTGGTAGATGGACAGAAATATTCACCCCAATACTTTGAAAGTTTAAATCAAAAATTTAATGTTCAACCACCCAAGAATGTGAAGTGGAAATATCATTGACAAGGACTAGGAAATCAATGTTGGTGCCATAACAAATTAGACAAAATTGATGAAACTTGCCAACTTTGTAAAAGGGAATAGGATCACTGGCAACTACTACGAAATATTCCAGATGAACCAACCACTAGTAGAATAACCTATAAACATTTTGATGAATTTCAACAATAACAAATTATGCAATTTTTACATAAACATAGAGATGCATTCGCTGAAGACTTATCATAGTTAGGGCATATAACAATCGAAAAATATCATATACTGGTAGAAAATCCAATGCCTATACGACAACGTACATATAGGGTAGCTCCATTAGAACAGGAATTTATCAAGGAAGAAGTTGATAGAATGTTAAAATACAATTTGATACAACCATTTGAAAGTCCTTGAGCTTCACCTGTTATTCTCGTTCGAAAGAAAAATGGAAAATTACGATTTTGTGTTGATTACCAAAAACTTAATAGTGTCACCTAACAAGATGGATATCTTTTACCACGAATTGACGAGTTGCTTGATATGTTTGGAAAAGCTAAATATTTTTTAACATTAGATTTGGCTAATGGATATTGGCAGGTCGCTATAGATTCAAATGACCAAGCTAAAACAGCTTTTATAACTAGTCAAGGACTTTATGAATTTAAAGTAATGCTATTTGGGTTAACGAATGCCTCTGCGACTTTTCAACATCTAATGAATAAGATCTTTAGGGAAGAAATTAGACAGTTCGTAGCTGTATATCTAGACGACATTATTATCTTTTCTGATACTTTTGACAAGCATTTATAACACTTGCAGCTTATTTTTAAACGATTGAAGGATGCTAGACTTAAACTCAGAAAAGATAAATATGAGTTTGCAAAATTAGAATTAGCATTCCTAGGATACATAGTGAGTGGATAAGGAATCTTACTAGACCCCTTCAAAATTGATAAAATTAAGAACTTTCCAACCCTAAAGAATATCACTGAATTAAGAGGATTCCTAAGACTAGCATCGTATTATAGAAGATTTATTCAGGATTTCTCAACATCTGCTGCACCATTACATTTATTATTACGAAAGGACACACCTTACATGTGAACAGAATCACAACAAAAGGCTTTTAAGCATCTGAAAACATGCTTGATAACTGCACTGATCTTGATTTATCCTGATTTCAAACAAAAGTTTTTACTCTTTACTGATGGTTCGTATATAGATCTTGACGCAGTATTAGCACAACTAGATGATAATAATAAGAAACGTGTCATAGCTTATACCAGTCGAAGTATAAGTCAAGCTGAAAGAAATTATGCTTCAACAGAATTGGATGTCTTGTCACTGTATGGGAAATGGAATATTTCCGACCTTATCTCTTACACTAGCAATTTGAATTGATTACTGATCACGCAGCTTTATAATAGCTTTTTAACAAACCTGATCCCCCTCGTAAATTTATGAGATGGATCATTCGCATTATGGAGTTTCCATATCAAATTCGATACAAAAAGGGAAAATTACATTCAAATGCTGATGCATTGTCTCGACTTCCTTCACAATAATCCACAACTATTCTAATAAAATTTGAAAGTGAAAGCGAAAGTGTTAGCAGTGTGACTAACAGCTCTACAACATAGAATCTGAAACCTACCATCAACTATACCAATACCTAACTCAACTTACATACCTCTCAAACCTCATCCCTTCACAACAACATATTATTCAAAAACAAGCTTAACATTATTTCTAAAGCTCTGAACAGTTCGGATTAATCTAAAAATTTTCGATTCAGATCAACTTCGGTTCGGTTTCAGATTGCAAAAATTTCAATCCGAAAATTTTCGGTTCAGTTTGGATTTTTTTCGGATTATAAATCTAATCTGAACCGAAAAAAATCTGAACTGAACCAAAAATTTTGGATTAATCCGAAATTTTGGATCGTTTGGAATGATGAAATTATCGTTCCAAACGAACGATAAAAGGATCGTTCGATTGGAACGATTGAAGTTATCGTTCCAAATGAACGATAAGAAAATCGTTCGATTAGAACGATCAAATTATCGTTTCAAACGAACGATAAAAAAATCGTTCATTTGGAACGATTGAAGTTATCGTTCCAAATGAACGATAAAAGGATCGTTTCAAACGATCCGAAATTTTGGATTAATCCAAAATTTTCAGTTCAGTTCGGATTTTTACCGGTTTACAGTTCAGTTCAGTTTCGGATTGGCATTTTTAGGATTTATAATCCGAACTGAACTGAACTGAAATTTTCGGATCAGTTTCGGATTGGCCTATAATCTAGACCGAACTGAACCGTTCAGAGCATTAATTATTTCGTATAAAATCAACAACTTTATAGACGAAATTAAAAGCAACTGACCTAACTATTACTCGTAATCAAAACAAATGAAGTTGAAAGCATTTTACCTAATATTCATAATGAGCCTTTAGGAGGACATTTAGTACATGACATTACTTACAACAAAATTGCCTCTCGATATTACTGGTCTAGCATGTATAAAACAATCGATAATTGGATACGAACATGTGATGTATGCCAATGACAAGGAAGACCAAAACCCAAAGAACCATTGCACCCTATACCTGTTGGACAACCATTCGATCGTATTGGAATAGACTATATAGGACCACTTTCACGTACAACAAAAGAAAATAGGTATATTATTGTAGCAACTGAATATTTGATAAAATGGGTTGAAGCTAGTATAACGCCAAATTGTACTGCCCAGATGTCTGCATAATTCATTTACAATGAAATCATATGTTGACACAGAACGCCAAAAGAGATATTGACTGACCGAGCTACTTCATTTCAAAATGAATTAGTCACTGCTTTGTTACATGTAGTAGGAACTAAATATAGATTATCTTTACCATATCACCCTCAGACTAATGGCCTTAGGGGCATGCCAAAAATCAGCTGATTTAAAGGGGAGGTGAAGGTCGGTCTTTATATCAGGTGAGTATAGTCACGTGATATACTTAATGTAAAATGATTAGTCAGTTTGATTTGGCTAAAAATATTAGCAAAAATCACATGCCGAATAAAATGATTGGTTGGAATTATAATATTCACATGCCGAGTGCAATCAAAAAGCATTTTATTAATTTTATTATTTTATTCAATTTCTATATTTTATTACGATATGACACGACGGAGCCATATATTATATGTAAGGATATTTTAGTGTCCAACGTTATTACATCATCACATAAAACTAATATAAAAGTCAACTTTTTTCTTCTTTTTTTTAACCTTCGTCCGACTGAACTTCACGAGAATCCCGTTCAACTTGTCCCATACCTTTGCTTTGAACTATATCTTCAGCGATGTTAAAATTTAGATTGAATGGAATAAGCACATAACCTATTTCCGTCTCGTTAGCTTATTCCTGAGAGCTTTTTGATTTCTTATTATGACGTCTAGAATGTATACTACGCTTATGGTCACTTATGAACTTGAGAGTTAGAAAATATTTGCCACATATGCTACAATATAAACGCTGATGTAATTCTCGTAAAATTGAAGGGTAACAGCTATCGTACTTTAGAATTTTGAGTTTATCATGATATTGAAGAGCGTGAATTGGGTTGATGAAGTGACCATCTTTTCCTTTCGTAGTTGGAGGAAGGAATCCATTATTCTCATTTAAAAGAATGGCAGCATCAGATTTATATACACCACAACATTCATTATTTTTACATTTTCTTATATCCAGTGAATAGTGACACATCTGCATATGATTCTCAATCCACTTTCACAATATTGAAGGCTTAGAATTATTGAATGGATGTCTCTCCTGGTTGATATATTCCACCATCACAGGTTTTCCATGTATGTCATCCCTTTTTCATATATCACATAGTTTTTTTCCCAAATATTCGAAATTTCATTGTGCTAATTCTTCATCTACTACTTTCCCTTAACTATTTAGATGTAATCTGAATTCCCTACAGGTAGAGTGATACCAGCAAGTTTTACAGATAAAGAAGTCATATTGCGTTCGACTGGGTTATACGTACTTTGACCTGAAGCATGAGTTCGAATCGTCAAGTAGTCCAGATCAAGGACACGGAAAAGGTGAGCATATTGAATAATATTTTTCATATGCTTCAGGTTTTCATCAGGTCCACCATCAACAAAAAGAATCCAAATAGGTCTAACTTTGCCTTCTTTCTTTAGGGTAGTAGAAAACTCTTCATTCGAAACGATACTTTCTAAATCTACTATATGGGTTGTTGATGAAGTTCCAATGAAATATTCTGGCCTAATGAATATGAAAAGCTGACCAGTATGAAGGGTATTGTTTGAATCAGCTGGATTAATGACTAAATAAATAGAAGGTATGAGTTTCATTTTTGAACCAGTTGGGAAATCATGATCTTTGATAGTTACTGGTTCATTAACTGACTAGATTGTTTTGAATGTGTGACTAACTGCAGGAATGTTCAATCCAACCTTTGCCTTATCATCCTGGAAGATGATAATTGCCTCATCAGCAAAAACTTTAGCAAATACTCTTGCAGCTATGACGAAAGCTAAACAGTAATGTTCATCAATATGAGGTTTCATTTCTGTCTGTGATACGGAGGCAAGACCAACCTTTGTTGGATGATGATGACGACGTGTAGCAAAGGTGCGTTAGTTTCAGGATTGAAGATAAGTTGATAAGCATTGATGAGATAGATAAGTATTATATTTTTCTTCTAGAGTTTTGCGTAAATACTTCACAGTTCTAACTTTTATGACCACTTTTCTTCGTTTAGCATGAGCAGCTCCAAACTCAACACTGTCATGGATTTTATCCCATAGATCTGGATTTTTCATAACCACAGATGGTCTTTCTGGAGTATCATATTTTTTTATAATACTCTCTTCTAGCAATTTCTGTTTTTTTGCTGCTAGCCTTGATTGAGCTTCAGCATGACAATTTAGCTTTGTTAGCTGTGCATTTTGTATTAATATATTTTTTTGTTCTTCAATTATCTTAGACGATAACAAAACTTTCATTGAGTCATTTGTAACGATCTCTATCATTTGTTGATATTCAACTAGGCTTTTTGCAGCTGAATTGATCTTTTCAGCTGCAATATATTGTGATTTGACATTTGGTGGTATTGTTGTAGTGTCAACAAACTGTCTTGGAGTGGATGGAGTGGATGGAATGAAGGTTTAACGAGAACTGTTAGTTGAATCACGTGACATAAAAATTCTTTAATGAGAGCGAATAGTGAAAGGTGTGATGTCATAATATTCTCGAATTTTATTTTCAATAAAGGCAGTATCATTTTTTTTTAACTTCCTTCCAAGCTGCTACACATTCTTGCATTATTCTTTGATGAATTGACTTAGGGTCACAAAGTATTGCTTATTTGTAATATGCATATGCATTGCAAAATTCTTGATATTTATCTTGGGATTGCTTATAAAAAAAGTTTTTGTTAAAGTTTGGTGCTTTCAAAAAACTTTGCATATTGATTTGAAAAAAAAGAATGCAAAGAAGAATGTAAGAGCGCGTTTTCACATTTTTTTTTGTAGATTTTCCAAGGATTTCATACACATCACATTGCATTAATCATCACTTCAATGTATAATATAAATAATTGTTATACAAATAAATCACGTCTTAATTCTTTTATATTGATTTTAGAATAATAGCAAAAAGGAACTTATGGATCGAATGATAACTTTATTTATTA